TACACATAATTCATAGCACTATTATTCTATAATTGCTAGTTCTCATATAAAACCTGAAAGTGCATTTTTATCTTAACTTTACTAAGGAAGAAATTGGAAAACCAGAAACCTGTCCAAAAGGTATAAACTGGTAAAGTGTAGGACAAGGACTTTAAATTCACAGCTGCTGCTGTACATATCTCACTGCTTCCAGACTTGGATACACATCTTTCTCTGCTTATTACAATTATCCTTGTTATTAATAGTTTTGAGTACTTAGTGTCCCTAAATACTTCGCATGTATTAACCCATGGCACCCCCATTGATAGGTAACAAAACTAAAGCTGAGAAAAAAATTTTTTTAATTGCCTAAGATAACAGAGTTCACCGGAGTGGAGGCAGGATTTTAGCTTCAGCAGTATGACTCTAAAATTTAGGGAGTTTGTCTCAGAAGGAATTGTCACTGTTACAGTACATGATGAATTCTGAAATTCTGCAGGTCTAGGGAGACACCGGTCACAGGTCAGTTTCAGCACCAGCCTCCACCCTGACGGGGACCCAGAGGCTCCTTGATAAAGTGTAACACTGAAAATATGATATCTGACCATCAGTCAGCATCACTCCGTCATGTACTGACTCTCAAACTGCTGTTTTAGGTCTAGCGATTCTTCTGTAGTGAAATAAACCAAATGTTGGTGGGAAAACTGGGCAACGGTAGTTTTCAGAAGTGGAATAATGCTTTGCTGATGGCACAAAGGTTGCTTTTCTATGGAGTATGACCTGCTCTGTAGATTGCATTCGGAATTATGAGATTTGATGAAAAGAGATGGTGTGGAGAATGCAGGAAAGATAACAAAGAGAAAACAGAATATCTCAGAATGGCTAATCCTACCAAAGTAGACCATGACCACCACAATCTGCTTAAGGAGAAGGTGAGAACAGACAAGGTGAAGATGAGACTGAGAAGGAAAAAAGAAACAGATGAAGAGTATTAGGAATTTGGGTGGTTTTTAAAATTTCATTGAACAAAAGAGATCAAAGCATGTTTGAATTCTGCCAGTTACCTCTGTGTTGTGCCTGGTACCCTTTCCTATTCATGGGCCAAGTGTTCTGTGAGATGTAAATATAATAAACAACTTATACGGAAGGCACAAAGTGGTGTTGGCACCCAGGCCAGGATCTAACCCCAACCTGGGGTTCTTTGGTAAAACTAGTTCTGTGAATGAAGTTCAAACAATAGGCCAACTGTTCACTTATTGAACCATTAACTGTTAGGAAAGAATGACTCCAAATCTTGGGCAGTTACTGGTCTGGCTCTGTCAGAGGGGAAAAAACAAACAAACAGAGAAAAGAGATGTAACAAAGAAGACAGTAACCTGCTTTAAGGGCCCAGCCACCAACACGAAATAAAAAAATGGAAGTGAGGGCAGAGAGCATGGGATGAGGTCCTGCACCCATGTTCCTCCCAGGCCCACAAGAGAACAGTGAGAGAACAAGGTACTAAGGGGCACACAGCCTGTTCAGGGGCGCCCAATGTGATGCAGGTTTGTTGAGTCTCCAGGAGTCATAAAACTGAGCCTATAGTTGTACTTGGGGCTAAGCTTTATTACAGCAAAAAATAAAAAGCAAAATCAGCAAAAGGAAGAGGAACATGGGGTGAAGTCCAGAGGAAACCAGGCCCAAGCTTCCAAGAGTCTTCTTCCAGCAAAGTTATACGAGATACACATACTTCCTCCAGCAATGGTCTGACGGTCTTCGTGAAATGTGGCCTACGCATTAGAGACTCAGTGTCCTAGGTTTTTACTGGGGTTTGGTCACATTCCTCACTAGCACTTGTCAAAGTTCCAGATTCCCGGAAGAAACAAAAGCAGTACTCTGTATAAAGCTTTGTTGTTTGCATAAAAGTTCAGTCACTATGAGCTGGTTAGGGTGGTGGGAAGCCTGAAATCTAAGTTCCCAAGTGTCAGTTAATGGCCAACACTTTGCAAGCAGCCCTAATACCAACAGCAGTCTGAGACTTCTTCTCTAAACACATCTATATCCTCAATCTTGTACATATAATAACCACATCTACTAATAAATTTGGGCTAAGAAGTATATTATACCCTACTTAATCAAATTAAAAGTACTGTTAAGGTGAAAGAAGAAAAGGAATGAGAAGAGAAGCAGACCAAGACGGAGAAGCACCTCCCCTACGGAAAACCTACTCTGTTAGTTTGAAACTAGTGACAAGTGAGGAATAACTAAAACTACAAGAAAAAAAAAGGCACAGAATCTTCCCTTCCAGTCACCATTCCAAGGACAGTCAAGCCTTGTAAATTCATGGATTCCTTATTTGCAAATCACCTACCAATTTTTTTTTGTAACCCCCCAAATCAATACTTGCTGAATGTTCAGCCATTTGTAGGTGTGCACAGAGCAATGAGAAACTTGTTTTGCATGATGCCCACGTTCCCAGCAGATGTCAAACAAGGAGTAGCTCTACCTTACTGTTTCAACTCATAGTATACTCAAATATTCTTTTTGTGGTCTACCTAGTACCATGTTTTTTGCATGTTTCTGCTTTTTCTTGGGGGATTCACCATTTACAATGGCCCCCCAGGATCAGAAGGCTGTGATTTGCCTTATAGAAAACATATGTGTGTTAAATGAGCTTCAACAGAAATAGATCAGAGACTCACAATGACCTAATTGGGAACAATGGCTCAATATTTACTAATTCAGTGCATGTGTGGCATCTTTATAGAACAAAACCACTGGAAAAAAAGACTCAACCGTTATGTGTGATGGACAGCTATAGTGACCTGCAGGGAGGGCTACGTACCTGGATGACTCCCCTAAACCCTGAGACAAAGGAAAACTCAGAACCAAAGGTAATAGGTTAAGTCAGGGGCTGAATGGGAAATAGAAGCAGAGCCTCTGTTAATCCAAAGACCCAAACAAATAGGCCATGCTAAGTGTGGCACAGGACCTGGGGGCTCTCAGGTCTATGGCTGGGCTAGAAAACAACAGGAAAATCACAAAACAAAACCAAACCATGCCCGAGAGTCCTGATGAAGTTTCCAGGTCATAGCTGTTTTACTAGTCACATAATACGTCCTCGGAGAATGTGGCTCCCTGTTGCCTGCTGACCTAATTCAGAGCACTCTCCAAGTTACAAACAAATAGAAGTTAAAGGGTAGGGGCAACGACTACCAAAAAAAAATAAATAAATAAATAAATAAAGCCTACACAGCTGTAACACATTACTGCACATATTGTTTCCATCTGCTTTGGAAAACCACATTCACCCCGCCCCTGAAATATCCCCATCAGAGATTTAAAATAAGTAATTAATTGCTTTCTCACCACCACCATAAAAGAAACAAGACAAAAAGACAGCTATTTAAAACACTTGAAGTCTGAATTTGTTTACTAATCAAAATACAAAAAAAGTAGCAACAGAAGAAAAAGGGGGGGGAAAAAAAAGGGAAAAAAAAAAAAAAAAGGGGGGGGAAAAAAAAAAAAAAAAAAAAAAAAACCTCTGGACAAAAGCATTTGTCAAAACCAACCTGAAACTGAATTTCAGAAATCACCTTGTCAAAAGGCATAGAAGATGGCTTTGAAAAACCTGTCACAATTAACATCACTCCAAGTGAAGCAATACCTTGGGTTTGGATGTTTGCATCTCCCAGTTTTGACACAGTTATCGGCAAGCTGCAGAAAGGACCTCAGCAGCACAAGCTACTCACGAGGACTTCTTGTACATTTTATTGCCTAATAAAATGTCTGATGAGAACATTTTACTGTCACACATTTTCATATTTGAGCTGTGGCAAACACATTCCTGACGGCAGGATAATTGATATGAATAAGGGAAAGCATTTTAGAGGAACTTTTAATGTTCAGATTGAGATTTGCATCTGTCCTTGATTTGGGCATCCCCCGCCCCAAACTTTTTCTCCTAATTATCTTTTGTGGTCTTCACTCACTGACTACTGTCCATGAGTATCTTTACAATAGTAGCATTATTAAAGCATGTAATGACCCTGCCATGACACAAAACAAATAATGCACATGGGAGATAAATGCAAGCACGTGTAACTGCTAATCTTGCCTTTTAAATGCATTTGAACTTGACTTATTAAAATGCCCCTTACAGAATGCCTGGCAGCTTTGCAAAATATAGGAGGCAAGACACCATCTCAGGAAAGCAGATTCTTTGACAATAAATCACTTGAAGGACTGCAATGTGGTAGGAACTGATTAATAACAATGCAGAACCACATAGTGAAGTAACTTCTTAAACCCTATAAACAAGTCACCACTTCTAAAAACTCTGTAAATCAGAGCACGGTGGCATCTGATCTGACCCACGAGAGATTTTTAGATTAGATAAAAACAATAAATAATAATTTAATATAAAGAACATAGATTTGGAAACACAGTAGTATGATGTCTTCCACTCTGAAGCAACTATCTTTTCATCCTGCTGATGCAAGAAGGCTTTTCAGTTTCATATACCTTCAGAGACATATCTTAGGAACTAAATGTCACCACTGCCTTGTACACTGAAGCATTTTTACTCATCCTGTCCACTGTCAAATGATAGGTTCCCAGCCAACACAGAACACACAAAACAGAATGATCTCAGACCAGAAGCTGCTTCCACCCTTCTCTGATGGGGAAACCACACAGCTACTTTTCAGGTGTGACCTCAGAAACACAGGTCTCTAAGATAATATATGGAAAACCACTCAAGTCCCATCTATGTTAATGTCAGACAAACTGTTAGTTACTGTGTGACTGACTAATCTTTATGTTGTATAATTCATAGATCTCAAAAAAGGGAGATAGGGATACATTGAAAAAAATAAACAAATTTCTTTAAGCAAGGGTTACTATATGTATATAAATATTTTCAATATGTTGAATGTTTAGGTAAAACTGAAAGCTACAATGATCAAGTATAAAAACTCAACATTTGGGCTTCATATTGTATTTTATTAATTTTCTGTGCAGAAAATATGTATAATTTGACATCTTACAATTGTATAAATATTTCAATGTTTTAATGAACACAATTATAAAATTTGACAATACCAAAGAAACAAAAGAACAAAAATAAAAATGAAATCCCAAATTCAGTGTATTAAATTTGGCGATTAGAATTCTATAATTTTAATTGTAAATCCTGTTAAAATGAAAGTTATGAGTGTGTTGACATGCTTGGGATTAGACCACTTTCAAAGTTTTTCAAAGTAACATTTTAAAAAATACTTGCTTAATATCTTCACATGAAAGACTAGCGTGATCACTTGATTTTCCATTAGAATAAAAATAATACAAATTCATTCTCAAAATTCTGGAGAAAATTCTTGATTATTACTGCCAAAGAAGCACAATTAGTTTATAGTAAAAGAAATTTGCATCATATTTGTCTCATCTTTATTTGTTTGACTTTTCAACACTATCCATGTTCCCAAAAGAATGGTTTTCTACAAATGTACTATGACTTCACAGCAATAGAATTACATAAGGAAACAAATGTACTTATTCTCTCTACTAGCACTGGGGCTGAGTCAGCACTTCTTCAGCACTGTTCCGTGAGCCAGATGATAACCAAATGCCACCCCCGGATCCCTGAGCGTCTCACGTGTTGATGGAGGACTGCACTTCCCCCAATGGCAAAGCCACCACAGTGGAATGCTTATTATGAAAGTTGGAGAGTGTCTTTACACATTATTGAAGAATGTCTTTTTCATTCAGGCAATTTTTCTTCCAACCCACTGTAAACCTGCTTTCTCTCTATATCTCTCTCTTGTTCTCCTACACATACATACATGATTTAAACATAAATATCTACAAAACAATGTGAATTTTGATGAAAATACATAGTGTAAAGTATCTTTGGTAAGAGTAATAAAAAGATACATTTATTTTTTTCCGCCTAGGAAATAAATAGCTATGATGCAGTGCTTTTGTCTTTTCTAGAATTATTTCTAGTTCTACAATACAGGCCTTAGTTTGTAACTCAGTAGGATGTCTCATAAACAGCTGCTTTTCACTCCAACAAATCTAAAACAAGCAGGGTGAGTTGTATTGCTTTCCAGCAATCCCTAGCTCGATTGTCATAGATCAATACCGCTATTTCTAGACACCTTGGGCCTGACCAAAATTAGTTTAAGAGGCATTCAGAAAGCAGTTACATTGGACGTAACAGGTAATGTTGTTTATCAGAATCTCAGAACGAATTAGTGGTGTTGATTTGTTTGTGGGTACTTCTGTACTCGCCCAGGAAACACAATTAAACACTAACTCTTTTGGTTACAATAGACTGTGACTTAAATGCCTTTGTTTTTACTTTTTTTCAAAAATGTTTTATTTTTACGACGTTTGCAAAAACCTACTTAAGATTTTCCCAGGAAATTTTTCTTTCTTTATCACTCTTTTCCTCCTCTCCCTACATTCTTGCTCTACCACATCTGTGTAAGTTGGGCACAGGTTGATCACATTTCCATTTTTATGTGTGTGGTCTAATGCTTTGCAGGGGTAAAGGCTGGCAATCTGATTCCTACCCCAGGGTCCTGTTCTCTCCACACACTGGAGGCAGCTGGACGAGACCATGACACTTGCACAACCGCCAGCAACTGTTTCCACTTTTCAAAGCAATTTCTACTTTTCCCAAATCTAAATTTTAATCAAATTTTGTGGAACAGAGAAGAAAATGTAGTTTCCTGCTCTAGCCACTTGGTAAGCAGAAGATTGTCACTTTTAAGTAAACATGTAATTACACCTGGTGGGCACCTAGTTATGGAGTTAAAGATGCCAAGCTGACTCGAGAGCTGACATTCCCTGAACCAGAGAGTCCCTGGGAGCATGCAGAGTAAACTGCACAGCACATCTGCCACCCAGGTCCCATTCCAGCACGTGTGGGGTGAGGTATTTGACATTGCTTTAGGGCTCAGCTGGAGACAAAAACCTGGAAGATTTAACTGCTTTCTCCCCAGCCAATGTGTGGGCTGCCATATATTTTTTAGTAGGCAAGTAAGGCTCCCGTTTGATGCACTGAAGACTTCTCACCAGTAAAATAAAAGACACAATCATCCTAAATTGATAACTAGGCTCAAATGAATGTGCTGGTACAGGTGCGCAGATACCCTGTTAGGATGCAACTGAGGGTACCTCTTTCCCAGTATCTGCATTGTTAAGAAGCTTTCATTCCCTGAGTGGAAGGATCCGAGCTGAAAAATATGTCCTTGCAATGACAAAATGTTAATGGGTGGTGTGCGAGGCTGAATCAGTGCGTGGTGACTTCCCCCTTTTTATTGCTATATATATCAGAGCATTTACGGAGCACTGGTTTCATCCAAAGGTCGCTTGTCTCTGGCTCAACCAGCAGCTCATCGAAGCTCTAATTCTCAAAGATTAGCATTCCAACCAAAGCTTCTGCTATAATTCTGGTGGCAAAATCAGGAGAGGTTCTCTAAGAAACAAACCAAACCCCATACTGTTTTACATTTCCCCAAACCAGGCAATAGCCAGTTTTGCCACATATTTGAGCATCTATTAAGTTTTGAAAAGAAAAGCATTATCATGTCCTAACGTTTTAAGTCATTTTTCTTTCTTTGACTTCCCTTTTTTCTCTTAGTTTTGCTCCCTTGATGCAGGCATTCCTTGGCCTTACTAATTCTTAAATTGTAGTTTAACTCTCTGCATTAAGATTGCTAGTGATTTTGCTACAATGTAAAATAAATGAAGAAATCTATTTCTAGATTCTGTATGCAAAAATGTAAAGTTTTGTATAAGGAAAAATTAAAATTCTGTGTATTTATGTTAAAAATTATTAGTCTCTATTCTACAGCAACATTTATTAATTCGCTACTAATTTCATTATTATTCACATAGCCTTTTTTCTCTTCTCTCTTAATGGACCCTTCTTTGCTAAGTATCAGAAGTCTGTTGTTTCTTTTCGCTGGAGAACTAGCTAGCTAGCTTTTGCAACTCTGTCCTTTGAGAACTGCAGAATGGAATAGAGTAGCTAGGACAATGGAGGGGAGATTCAGACAGAAGGAAACAGTCAGTTCTCATTGTCTATAGTGGCTGAAGTAAATGGAGATCTCATTATGCTTGATTTCACTTATTTCCTGTCTTGCTAGCTTACAAAAAGAAGACTCTTTTCTCCTGAACAAGAGGCCTGTTATGGTCATGTAAGTAAGAAACAACAGTCATTTGTTTAAATATCAACAGATTCCTCAGTTGTCAGAAAGCTGATGAAGCATTAAAAGTTATGACTTTGTCTATGAAGCTAAATTTAAAAATACAATATTAGTATTTCCTAGAAACTATATATTGTTACAAATTTCTAATACAGAGTCCTAGAGAACAAAATCTCTTTAGCACAACTGTCGTGTTTTAAAACTGATACAAGAAAATGGATTTTAGTAGGGAAAATATGTGACTGACAAATTTAGAATCAGAAGATATACATATAGGGAAGATATACCTATAAGGAAGAGTGTGATTTTCTGCTATGAATCTAGAATTAACATTCAGTACCTATTTCCCACCTAGCACTACAGTTTATATGGAGATCAAATGAATGGTACTAGACATGTTTTATTAGATGTGTATTTCATGGGGAAGTGGAAAGAGCCTTTCAGTAGCAAAGACTGGAAAGCTGAGCTTGTTTTTACTCTGTGACAAACTCAGTGGATGAATTGAAGCAAGTTGCCATCTTCCTTTGGATCTCAGTTTCCTCACCTGCAAAGTAACAGTACTCCCAACTTTGGCATTATATGAGAGTGTTCTCCATAGCATAAGAAAAGGGACTGTTTGTCATGAGAAGCAGGTGAGAATGAATCTTATCGGTTTCGTTAGAAAGCTCGCTGTTCAGCTGAGTTAACCATCCTTATGGGAACACAATTATCTATTTTTTTCTCTCTAATATAAAGAATATCCTTTAACACTGGCATTAACTATTGATGACAACGCCTAGCCTTTGCCTCTAGCAAGCCTCTTTAACAATGCCTTATAATTTAAATCAAGAACCTGCTGTGCCAGCTCCAGGAAAACACTAATTTGGGGGGGGGGTGGTGGTATAAATAGCATGGATATATGGAGTAGAACAATTCAGACTATGCTTTTGTATTTCTTTTATTTCTTTATTTTAAGAACCTATACTATCAAAATCACCCAAGTGGAATTTAAAGTCACAGAATGAAAAATCATCAATCACATCATTTTTAAATCAAAAGAAAAACCTCACAAAAACTAAGGCCCAAATTTATGTACGTGGGGTATATGTGTGTGTGTGTGTGTGTGTGTGCATGAAACTGTTTTTTATTATTACTGCTATGTAAAATCACAGCCTTGCTCTGCATAAATCAAAAGACCCAAGAAGATTAAAAACTGATGAAAGAGTCTATCAGATTCTTTGGGGGGATACAAAGAAAATTTCCTTTTCTTTGTCCACTGAGTTAATTTCTCAGTATAATCTAGAAAAATTGATAGTTTATTCCAAAAATGAAAGAAAAGAAAGGTAGACTTTAAAAATACTTATAATGATGATCATTTTGTTCAGAGGTCCTTAAAAATTTTTGAGATTGTTTGTGGGACCCCCAAGATTGTCTGTGTATTTTGTATGTATGCCATAAATTTCTTTTTAATCATGTCCTCAAAAAGATTTTCTAAAAATGACTAATTGAGCACTGATCTCATCCAAATGAGAAATCCCAGAGTGAGGAGCAATTTGCCGCAGTCACATCCTTAACCAGTGACACTGACAACCCCAGAACACAAACCGCCAGGGCTGTCCACACCTGTACACACTCAAATAAATGGTGTTTCTGCAACTTGCATTATCCGGTGAAGAAACTCTGCCTGCTTTATTTTTTTTTTGTGAAGGGAAAGTAAACTTACAGAGATTTAGAGGACAGCATTTCAATTCTAACATTTATTGCCACTAAAATTAGTGTTTTAAGATCTGTGTGACAAGAATTAGCTAGAGAGACAGGATCTCTCAAAACAAAACAAAACTCTCATATACATGCACGATGAAGCCCTATTTACAGAAGCACAAATTACTCGTGTTGACACAGTGTTTGAATATCAGCTGGAATTTAAGATAGGCAGAGTCTCATCTAGAGACTTTGATGAGTAAAGTCTGCTCATCTAGAATGGCAGAGACCTACTTACTTGGAAAGATTACTCTTCTTCTGAGAAATCTTCCACTTGGTTTACTGAAATTAGCTGTATTAATATAATCACTTAAATAAATTATGATCAAAAGAGTCAGTATTGCACATCGAGCCTTGGCTAAGTTTCTTGTTAGTAGTTCTTCCTGCTATGTGTTAATATGAAAACTATTTGGAATTGAGAAAGTGTTACCAAGATGTGCTGTCTATTAAATATGTCTTCAGAGCTAAATCTTCAGGAACATTGCACATTTCCCATGTCTTTTTCTGATTATCCTCCTTCAGAAGGGAGAAGAATTCCAAAGAGAGAAAGAAGTATCTGTAAGTAATATATTTATGGGCATTCAATGCCGGATGCTTTAATAAGCTCGATTGCTATTGGTAAATCCCTGCAAAAGATGACAGGAGCATCTAATATGGTATCATGCAGATTTAAACAAAGGCCACGCCAATCATGCTGCTGATTTCAGCAATGTGTTGTATTTGATAGCCACTGGTAGACGTCTACAAAGCAAAATCACTAAGCTGTAAAAAATGCCTTAATTCTTAAGGTAATAAAGTGAATTAATTTTTTCCTGTGAGCCAGGACTATAATGGCCAGGGAACATGATAGGTTAACATTGAGAAATGCCAACAATGACTTGAAACTCAGTAACTTCTCTATTAAGAACCTGATCACAAGGTAGTGCAGTAATAATATGCTTGATTCTGAACTTAGAAATGAATAGCTAATGAAGTACTTCATCTTGGGTAGAAAGTAAAATACAGATTTTCTGTTAGACATGTGAGTAAGTACACTTTCAATGTCTCCAACATCTTCTTTCTGTCTGAGTGACCACAGACAGACACTGAGCTTTGGTCTCCAAGTACAAATTAAACTAAGTACCTTAAGAAGCTAAAAACTAAGACAAAGTATGCTGGATAAAAACATAAATAAAAATAATAGAGATCACAATGCTGAAGAGTCTATATATCCCTTTATAATTTACGGTAATGATATTTCTTCATTACTATGCAACAATAATTGATTAAATAAATTGAGGGTGAACATGATTGATTAAATCATTGTGCTTAATGCATGCCAAGGGAGGAAAGACTTCCCTAGACAAAGGGGGGAAGAAAGAGAGAAATATATAAAAATAGATACTATATCAAGGACTGTAAAAGATTCATTCAACATGAAGTCTACAGACATCAAATAGAGGTATTAGTATCAGTAGTGAGCAAGATTAGATATTGACACAAAGTACCCGTATCAATACAGAGTCCTGTGCTGTATCTTCAAACATCTAATACAGTTGCCTGGAGCTTTTCTAAATCAACTCTGTTTATACTTAGGTAGAAAATGTAACCTCAGTTTCAATGAATTTTTAATTTTGTTCAATCTTGCATTTGTTCAACCAAAAACAATTTACAGAGGACCAGGGCTATCAGCCTCACGGTGAGCAAGTGTAGCTCCTCACTGGGGAGTTCCTGAATCTGCCATAAAAATCAACAGTGCACATCTAATGGTTTTAATTCTAGTGCTGAAAAGTGAATAATCACATCAAAGGGCCTCTTTGGTTTCCAGATTAAACATGTAATGTGACCTGTCATCTGGCCACTTTTCTGCATTTCCACTTTAAATAATCATAAATAAGGAAGCCTTGCTACTCTTTGGAATGACACGGCTGTTTGAACTTCAAAGTCTTAGAAATTGCACTCATTCCTTCTTTCGAGTCCTGGTTTACGGCGAAAATTCTCAGCTGAAAGATTCTTTATTGTATTCAAATCTTGTCCCATATGAGTTGCTTTGGTTACTCAGTTTATGAAGAGTCTTAGAAATGGATCTGGGTCCACAGCAAAAAACACCAACTGTTTTCCTGGGAAGGAGAGGAAGAAAATGGAAAATCAGGTGGAAAATTTGGCAGAACATGACAAGAAGTATGCTTTATGAGCATGTGTAAGGTACTTAAGAAAATTAATTTCTTGCTACTTAAATAATTTAAAATAATTTTGTCCTATTGAAAATAATTGTTCAATTCCTTCCAAGTGTAAATGATCACCCAAAAGATATTTTATTCACCTCTTCCTTTTCATACTAGAATTCAGGATAATTCAAAGAATGTAACTATGAGCACACAGTTGCTTATTACCAGACGAAGAGAGAAGAGTCTGCCTTAGCCTTTTCATTACGTCACATTAGTGACACCAGAGACTAAACCCAGAGCAACAGTTGACAGATGACTGTCCACACGGGATCACGTCAATATTCTCCTATTGCTGTTTTATAAACACTTTCCCCTGAAGAGACCATGAATTTGCTTGAGTCATGATGAACATAAGAAGAGAAAGAGAAGCTATTACCAACTTGAAAGCATAATTTTAAGTGACTAATTTACATCCATATTGAGATAAAAAGCTTATTAATCTGGATACATGTTCTTTTCCATTTATACATGGCAATAATTGTAACAAATGCCGAGCAGGTTTTATTATTTGCTAACATAAAATTTTAGTAGGTAAATTATACACATAGACTAAATAAATAGATTAAATCCCAGGAAATGACAAATATTTTATAATAATCTTCCTCCAAGTTTGTTGATTTGTTGGAATTCTTCCTAGGATATCAAAATGATTAACAATTCATATATCTTAGACAAATTACAGTTATGTCCCCACTGTCTGAAAATAATTGGTGCTGAAAAAAAGATAGGGAATCCATTTAAATTTATAACAAATACTGAAAAACGGTTTATTAAAACATTTCATCTTGAAAAATAAATCAAAGAACTATGAAAATAAAACACCCCTTGGCAGTTATGATTGAGTAATGAGGACTAGGTTTACCCTCTGGCATTAAAAAACTAGAAAAAATATATAAGACAAGTATTTTCAGACACTGGACAATAGGCAGAAGAGAACAGTGATCCCAAAGAAAGAGGAAAAACCAGGTGAGCTGGCAACTGTCTCTGCTTACTGCCTGGAGACAAGCAACTGGCTGCCGCACTGATTAGTGGTCTCACTGAGTTGAGAAGACAAAGAATAAAATTTGTGGGGCCCAAAGCAGCTAGAATTTGCAGAGAAAATTATAGTAGGGGAGAGACATCTATAGAAAGAAGCCCTGGAGAGCTAGAGAGGAGTGACCTTAAGTCTTGGGCTGAGTCCTGATTTGCTCATGTGAGAAAAAAGTCACATGAATCTCAGTGAGGAACTATCAGGGAGCAATAAGTCAAACAAAGTGCAGAGTTTACACGAGGTTGTGAATAAGTCATATTCCCACAAGCCAGAATGATAAGAGTTATATATAATCCATGGGCAATGGGTAGTGTTCCAGAAAGGTACCACCTCACTTGTGAAAGGTAGAGCAGATATTGGTATAATCAGCTCAAGACTGAAGGCTGCTTTAGACCTGTACTAACAAAGCTTAAAAGCAGGCCTTGAAAAAAATCAAACTAAATCCAAGTAACAAAACATGCCAGGAACAAATCCAACAATATTGAAAAGAATAAATCAAAATCTGGCATTTTACATTTAAACTTCATAGTGTACAGCATTCAATAAAAAATTACTGGGAATGTATAAAGCAAGAAGCTGTGAACTATAACTAGGAGTGTTATGGGCTGAATTGTATCCACACCCCACACCCTGCAATTCAAAGGTTGAATCTCTAACCCCCAGTACCTCAGAATGTAGCTGTATTTAGAGATAGGACCTTTATCCATGTGATTAAGTTAAACAAGGCTGTCCAAGATGACTAGTGTCTTTGTAAGAAGAGGAAATGTGGATATACAAACAGACATGAGAGGCACACATGCACAGAAAAAAGACCGTATAAAGAGGCAATAAGAGGGTGGTCATCCAAAAGCTGAGAAGCAAGGTCTCAGGGGAAATCAACCCTGCTGGCATCTTGATCTTAAACTCCCAGCCTCCAGAACATGAGAAAATACATTTTTACTATTGAATCTACTCAGTCTGTGGGATACTGTTATAGAAGTCCTAGCAAACTAATAAAAGGAGAAAGATTGGTCAATAGAAAAAGGCCCAAAATGACAGAAATGAAAGAATTATCAGACATGGTCATTGAAACAATGAGAAACATGCTTCATATGTTCTAAGATAAGCATCCACATGATGAAAAGAGAAAGATTTTTAAAGGTTTACATAGAAATTCTAATGATTAAATGCAATATTTAAAATGAGAAATATACTGTGAGTTAACAGATTAGGTACTGAAAAAGAAAACATAAGTAAATAAATATGAAGACAGCACTAGAACCTATCAAAATGAAAGTATACAGAAAAAAATTAAAAAACAATAAAATAAAAAAGTAAAGCCCCAGTAACCTAGGGGGCAATATCAACTGGTCTAAAATATATGTAATGGTATTCTCAATGATGACAGATGACAGAAGGGAAAAAGAAAAAAAATTAGATATAATTGACAAAATTTCCCCCCAAATTTAATGAAAATAAACACATGTATCCAAGACCCCACTGAACTCCAAGGGCAATACACACAAAAAAACCCACATAAGGCAACTAATAGTAGGACTCAAAGCCAGTGACAAACAGAAAGACATAAAAGCAGCCAGAGGGGAAAAAGACACATTACAAAAAATTAGCAGAAGGCGAAAGATGGACCTGTCACAATTATCCCACTCAGAAGGTAATGAAGTGATATCTTCAAAGTGCTGAAAAACAAAAGGAATTATCACCAATTCTATACCAAGCAAAGTTTTTTAAAAAAATGAATTTGAAGATGTTTGCATTCTATTTTTGGTGGACAAAACACATAGCATACATTTATTTAGCACAACCTTGTGGAGTACACAGGGTGAGGCCGTGGAAGAAACCTTTTCTCCTCCTGGTTCACATCTGAGGACTGATTCATCAGCTGCTCTCATGTCTTTATCTCCATATTAGTTGGGTACCACATTTAACATTTATTAATTTTCTCCTTCAGTGGAGGCATCAATTCTCCAGGTTCTTTCTGTTCCTTAACAATGCCCAGCCCTTCAAAAAGCTCCCCTATCCCGTACAGCTGAAGGTAACTTGGCCTGGCAATTGGGGTATGTTTTCAACCCTTGTGGAACTTCTTCATCCTCCAATATATCAAATGTCTCATTTTCCACACCAGTACTATTCAGTATTTCCAGAATTTGCTTGCCGAATCCATATTTAGCTTCCTGTTTGTTTTCTTTCATAAAGAGCATCACAGAAGCTTTATCTGTCAGTACTTTGAGACTTTCCCCTAATTTGGGAACTTTGTGACAAATTGCATCTAGTGCTTCAGAGGCTTCCAGCTCCTTCACTATGTCAAGTGAAGTCCTATGAGCTGTCAGAAACATAGAGCTGTGGATAGGTGGGCCATCGGGCTAGGTTTTGAGGCCCTGACAAACTTCTTCATTGGAGGAGATATTGAAACTGCTAAACTGAACATTCCGTTCATCAAAAATTTCTATCACCTGCTTGCTGAAACCACAGCGAGGCTTCTGTGGAGTCCCTTTGCTAAGTAAACGTTGTGCAGGGGCAGCGTGAGTGAATTTTGTTTAGTGAAGGTTGAGGTCTTCTTTGGGGTGCTCATTACCACTGCATGGGAAGGAGCCCACGGATGCTGAAATCTTTTGGTCAACTCTGGGGCATGTGCACATGTAAATGATCATTTTTTGAGAATTCTTGAAAACCAGAAAGGTGGGGACAGAACTAATTTAATATTTTTCATATATTTTGGGAAGACTTTCAGCTTCTGACTTCACAAATTAAACTTGGAGTGGCCATCATGCCATTCAATGGATCACACTGTGGAGCCCGTGGTACCGGACAATGGACCACGTGGGCACTTGGCTCTGAGGCACAGCAGTTCCTCCAACTGCTGGGGCTGAGCCGACCTCCACCATCACTGCCGACACCACCACCACCACCGCCGCCGCCCCCCAAACCCCCACAGCCCAGATAGCTCTATATAGCAAAGCAAAATCACATCAAACAAAAATAACTTTCCAAAGTGAAGATGGAATACAAACTTTTTGAAGAAAAGGTGAGAAAATTAATTGCCAGCAAACTGGCACTATAAAATATATTGAAGGAAGTTCTTTAGGAAGGAAAAGGAAATTAGAGAGAAATTTGAATCTACCCTAAAAGAATAAAAAGTATCAAAATAGTGAATCTGTAAATAAATAGTAATGTATATGTTGTCTCATTTTAATCTCTTAAAAATAATTTATGCTTAAAGCAAAAGCAATAACAATATACTAGGAGGTGTATAGTATATTGGGAAGCAAGATGAGTAATAACAAAAGCCAAGGAAATGCAGGGATACTGAAAGTACATGAAGTGGTACCTTCCAGTGGTAATATTTCACTGTGGTTCTGATTAGCATTTCTCTGATTAGTAATGTTGAGCACATTCATGGAACTGTTGGCATGTCTATATGGAAAAATATATTTGCAAATGATACCTTGGGCAAGGGTTTGATCTACAAAATATATAAATAACTCACACAACTCCAATCCAGGACAACAAACAATCCAATTAAAAAAAATGGGCAATAGACCTCAACAGACATTTCTCCAAGGACATACAGAAGGCCCATAGACATATGAAAAGATGCTCAACATCACTAGCCATCAGAGATACCCAAATTAAAACCACAATGAGATATTACCTCAGACTTGTCAGAATAGCCATCATTAATAAATCAACAAACAACAAGTGCCGTAAAGGTTGTAGAGAAAAGGGAACCCTAGTGCACTGTTGGTGGGCATGCAGACTGGTGCAGCCACTGTGGAAAACAGTACAGAATTTCCTCAGAAAGCTAAATATGGAACTACCTTTTAACACAGTATTCCACTGCTGGGAATATACCCTAAGAATCTTGAAACACCAATTCAAAATAACCTATGCACCCCAATGTTCATAGCAGCGCAATTTACAATAGCCAACTGCTGGAAACAGCCTAAGTGCCCATCAGTAAATGAATCAAAAACTGTTGTACATTTACGCAATGGAATACTATGCAGCGGAAAGAAAGAAGGAACTCCTGCCTTTCCTGACAGCATAGATGGAACTGGAAACTATTACGCTCAGTGAAATAAGCCAATTGGTAAAATACAAATACCATATGGGCTCACTTAGAAGAGGAATCTAACGAACAAAATAAAGTAACAGACAAAATAGAACCACAGGCATAGAAACATGGAAGAGATTGACAGTGACCAGAGAGGAGGAGAGGAGGAGAGGAGGAGAGGAGGAGAGGAGTGGGGAGGGGGATAACGGTGGAAAGTAGGGCAAGAGACTAGTCAAAGAACATGTAGGAATATGACCCATGCACATGGACAACAGTGTGGGAATTAACTGTGGAAGCAGGAGTAGGATGGGCGGTAAAGGGCAAAGAGGAAAAAAATGGGACAACTGTAACAGAATAAGAATAAAAAGTGAAAAAAAAATAAAGCAACTGAATTTATGTCTTCTCTATTTCTATCTCCATATATTCTTTATTAATAGTTCATTTTTATTGTATCTTTCCATTGCCCTTTAACCCCCCTATACCCTCTTCTACCTACCGTCTTCCCCCCTCAATCATCACATTGTATATTTATATATAAGAGGTTAACCAAAATAATACATCTGAAATGAACCCTTCTATTTTAATGGCACCTTTTTCTAGTTAATGAAGTCGAAAAATGAAACTAGATCACCTTCTTGCACCACATACAAGAATAAATTCAAAATGGATTAAAGACAAATACTAGACCCTAAACCAGAAAAATTCTAGAAGAAAACAAAGCTGCAAATCTCGGGCATTTCTCATAGCAGTATTTAATAGGATAAATCTCTCCAGTCAAGGGAAACAAGAAAAAGTAAACAAATGTGACTACATCAAACAAAAGTTTCTGCACAACAAAGGAAAACATTAACAAAATGAAAAGACAACCCACAGAATGGGAAAACATATTTGCTGATACATCTGGTAAGGAGTTCATATCCACGATTTATAAAGAACTTAACAAAACTCAATACCAAAAAAAAAAAAACCACAACCCAGTTTAAAAAGTAGGCAAAGGACTACTTCTCTAAACAGATACTTCTCTAAAGAGGACATACAGATGGCCAACAGACATATGAAAAGATGCTCCACATCACTAATCATCAGAGAGATGCAAATTCAAATCATAATGAGATATCATCTTGTGCCTGTCAGAATGGCTATCATCAATAAATCAACGAACAATAAATGCTGGAGAAAGGAGAACCCTTTTGCACTGTTGGTGGGAATGCAGATTGGGGAAGCCACAATGGAGAGCAGTATGGAAATACCTCAAAAGTTAAAAAAGAATCTGCCTTTTGTCCCAGCAATCCCACTTCTGGGAATATACCTGAGGGAACTCAAAACACTAATTGAAAAAAATTTGTGTGTCCCCATGTTCATAGCAGTGTTATATACAAACAATAAGATTCGGAAGCAGCCCAAGTGTCCATCAATATATGAGTGATAAAACAACTATGGGATATTTACACAGTGAAATACTACTCAGCTGTAAAAAAAATTTGCAACAGTATGAATGAACCTGGAGAACATTATGCTAAGTGTAATAAACCAGTCAGAAAAAGACAAATAGCATATGATTTCACTCATATGTGGAGTCTAATGAATAAACTGAACTCACAAGCAACATAGAGACAGGCCCATAGGGAGAGAGCAGGATGACAGCTAAGGGGACAGGGAATTTAGGGAGTGGAGGGATTGAGCAAAAAGGAAAAAGGATGTATGGACCTGGACACCAGTGTGGTGATTCTTGGGTGGTAGGGGGTGTAAAGGGGGTAAATAGTAATGAAAAAAATTCAGAAATAAAACAAAATAAACAAAAAATGTCGATTGCTTCTTTTCCAAACTATGCTACATAAAAATCCTTCTAAAATAATGCATTTCAGGTGACAGAGCAGAACAAATACAGAAAGTGAAAGGGTTGTACACAATGTGAGCAGTAGGTGGTGCACATTTGCTCATCTTTAACCAGCTTGCTGTTTCAGGAAAATGAAAAACCAGATAAACAGACAAAATCCTTCTCAATCAGGAACAGTACAACAAATGAGAATTCTTAATAAGTAACTAAACAGGCCAATTAATCCAGTCTAATTAATTTCCTGTAAATGATCCTTTACTGTTTTGAGACTTGATTTCACAATGAAGAGGGGGGTGGGGAAGGAGGAAGAAACCAAAACTTTCAAAGTTTTCGCCAGTATATTACAAAAACTAATAAGAGAATGCTTGTCAGAGGTCAGTTAAATGTCTCTAACAAGGAATGAATTGTCTGTGGTGCACAGCAAGACCCAGGTGAGCATGACAAGATGCTCACACAGAAGGTGGATGATATCGGGAAAAGATGGGAAAGCAGACATGCAAACTGGGTTGACTTTTTTTTCGTTCCACAGGTCTGCTTCCACTGGGGCCCTGTATGTTACAAAGGACCTCTACTTTCTAAGTAGTGCTTCCCTCTTCAACCCCAAACTACGTTCTCAAGGGAAGGGGATACCAAAATAGTTTCACACATGGCTGAAATCTGAATTACTTGAGTACATATTCCTGTTTAAATTTTGTTTCTGGGGCTCCACACCATGCTTCCCAAAACAAAACCTCTGAAGGTGGAGCCAAGGGCCGTGAAGTATCAGTGATTCTTTCGAGACATCTGGATCCATGAATTCATGAATGGAGATTAAAAAAGTCACTTCATCTCAGAAGCTCTCTCATTCATTTACAATCAGACATCATTTTTATATTTATCAAATATAGTTTTTAAATTATGAATCAATCAAGTATATACTAATAATTATAATGATAACTCAATCCAGAAGAAAAGTTAACAGTAGCACTTTAGGGTAACAGGAAATTTAAAAAATTAAATAATCAATTTATGTACATTCTTACTGGAAAAATGTTTAGGTCAGAAACAAAAATATAGTTAGTTCAAATATAAAAATATATTGAACACTGATGAAATTTTGCAGATTAATCAGGATAGAAATGAAAGTTCAAGTAGAACAAAATAATTGTATATAATTCCAACTGCTAATGAAAGCTTATTTGTGTATTTATAATATATGAGGTTGATACCAAGAAACTGATGTTCAGATTCCAGTAGACACATTTTAAATAATACGTTAATTTTAAAATGCCAACATCTGCAACTATTTAACCTCATGATGAACCTATTTCAATGTCAAATTTGAAATGTGAGAGTGGGTATATAGTTTTCAAAATGCTTTTACATTTTTGTATACTATTGCCTTGCACTATAATAAGTTTATAGAAGGCAAGTGGGTTGTCTGTTTTATGCCCTGAAGTGAACTTTCTTTCAGTAGTAATCTCTTCAGATAGTAGACACATAGTCCATAATGTTAAATTACTTTAGAATTACCGCTTTCATGAAAAAAAAAGGAGAAAAATATTCCTGACTAGAGAAGACAAAAAACTTCAAGTTTCAAAAAATTGTATTCATTCTGGTACACCAGAAAAAAAGTACAAAAACCAATTTTTAAGGGCATGTAATGTTAAAATTATTTGTAGAGCTCCCGTTTGCCAATGGGATTTTGAAAACTTTTCTAGTGATCACCTGATACATGCTGTGAGGATGAAAAACACTCATTTTTATATGGGCCTATGCAAACTTAAAAGGAGGAAGAAGAGTCTTGTTCGTAGATAATTATACACTACTGCTGAGCCAAATTTTAATAACTTGGCACTGCACACCAGTAAAGTAGTCTCTGACTCGCTTCCTCCTTTAATAGTGATAATTGGCTGTTGAAGTAGCTTTCTAATTTGTAAACCAATTACTAATTTATCTTTAAAAACTTCACATAATAACTTGGTAATATTTCCATTTGGTCATTCACCACATGTCAAATTTTCTGAAGGGTACTTACCCTCTGTTAAATTTTGCTATTTCATCAAACAGAAGCTTCCACTGAGGGCGTCCAATATAAAGTCTTGAATTCAGTGCTTGATATTTTTCTCCAATTATTTTCTGCCACAAAGAAAGCATTATATTTTATATGACATGAAGTTGGCAAATTCTTTATTTGTCTAACATCATTTTTGCTGGTGCTGTGGCTTCCTACCAAATTGCTGTGATATACAGAATATAAGTATCAAATGGCAACCTATTAAGTATAGTCAGAACATCATTTCCTTCCTCTTTTCCTTTGAAATCCATTCTCTTCTTAAATGCCATTATTACAAATGGCTGATTTGCCTCATTTTAAAGCAACTGCAGTGTTGAGGAGTGCAGTCTAATTACTTGCTCTCAAAAAGGCCTCGGTACATAAACTTCACTGCATTGTTTCTGCATTGCAATTACAGTTGTCACATTTGACACATTATATGGATAAGTTACTACAAATTGTAATCATAAATTTGGGGAAATAATCTCAGACAAGAACACCTAACACAGAAGAGCTACAAATCTTGGTTCTACAAGCAAATAACTCTAAAGAACTGTTGTTTGTGAGGAACAGAACATGAGACCTGGAGATGGAGTGAAGTGAGAAAAGAGAAAGTGTCTGAGTCTCGGGCAGACACACTGAGGACCAAATACAATCAATCTGCGCCCTGAACCTTAATTACAGCAATACCATGAGGCACAATGACACTGACTTGCTTCATTAGAGTAGTAAAATAAAATATATTTATATCCCAAGTAGGGAAGAATTCTAACTAGGAAAAATAGGGTTAGATTATTTTTAAAGTAACTGACAAGCACTCATATTTTGTATTCAAAGTTATTACAGAAAATGATGGTAGAAAATATGAAAATAAAACTTGTGAAAACATTCATGCCCAGCTTCATACACTTAGGCAGCTCTTCAATGTTGTCTAAAATATCAGTTTCTTCAGCTATAATTTGGCAATAGGAATATCCTCTAACTCTTGAATCTGTTGGAATTACATGCTTATGTATATGCTTGCTTAGTGCAGTGCCTAGCACGGTGAATTCCTAATGCATGATAGCTATTACTATTTTTTTGTTTCCCTTGGAGATAAACAAGGTTTACTGTGGATGACCTTAATTTTTCTTTCATATAAAACCTCCTCTCAGTGTTCATAGTCACAAGACTGTTCACTTATGGTCTGATCTCTCTAGGTAAAGAACTTGAGACAACAGTGAAGAGGATGATAAAAGTGATAATATGGTCAAATTCAAGGACAAGCCCTGAGTTTTCTGGACATGTTCCAAGAAGCCTTGCTGTGGGAAACCTCTTCAAACCACCTGCAGAAATTTTCTTCCAGCACGGCCCTTACAGTAAATTTCCTATTACCCAGAGGCTTGTCTAATTTACAGTAACACCCAGCCACATACCTGTATTCCATCTGTTTGACTGAGGTACAGCTGGATGTTGACATAGTCTGGTCTGTTCTCCTGCCAAAACTGAGAGGACATAAAAGTAAACAGACATTAAAGTTATTTCTGTATACTCAGACTTCCTCCTATTCTAACACGTGATTCTAGAATTTGTTAAGATGCATGTTGCCTAATCACAGTCATTATCTACAAGCAAATATGTATATATATATATATATATATATATATGTATATGTATGTATGTTTGTATGTATAGTGTGAAAGTAATGCTTTAAAAAAATTTATATATAGGATTCAAGTAGATGTTTTAGGAATGCAAAGGAAATCATTTTGCAGACAGGGAGTGATCAGTGATTCATCGCCATCTGTCACCCTTTTCCATGGAAAGGGAACTTGGGAACTAACTGAAAGACCTCTGTCTATTGCCATGACTGCCTGGGCCAGAGATTTCTAGCAAGTTACTCAATTTCTTTTGGCTTCAGTTTCTTCACCAAGACAACAATATGGTTGAATATTATCTTGCAGGTCTCTTCCAGATCTAAAATTATACATTTTCCGACAGGTGGCAACCATGAATATTAAAATCCTCATGAAATATAGTTTACCTTAAAAGTGGTGAGATGATTATCAGTACCCATAATATTCTTAAAATATCATCGCTAATCATATCCCATCTAATAAATGCCTCAGGTCATATCCAAATACTAAATTCATTTTAAGGCCCTTTCTGAACTGAATGAGGATGCACAGATTTTAACTGGGGAGAACTGAGGGACTTCTAGGTCCAGCAATGGGTGACATCTCATGGAATACACACTCTGTGTTGATTCTTTTCTTAAAAGCCTCCCAGGATGCTGTTCTATGACTCCTACCTCGATAACTGATGTTCGGTTACCCAAACAGTCCCCAGAAAGAACTATACACATTCAAATAATGTTCTTAATAATTTCAATGTCTCCATCTCAACTTATCTCTCACAGGAGATAAGTAATAAAACATCCTAAAGGGACAATTTTCTTCAAGTCCAGGCAGCAAATACATGAATCAACAGTCTTGCAAAGAGATAGGACTACAGTGTCATGCACAAAGATTATGTATTTCATTTTTATTTCTCCTGCCTGTCATTCTTTTTTTTGTTTTCCTCGCAAATTGAAAATAATAGAATGTAACTCTTGAAAGGAATTTTACAGATCACTTACAGAAATTATAGCAATCATTTATTATGTACTTTCAATATGACAGATTCTTTATTTTTTAAAAGATTTTATTTCTTTATTTTTAGAGAGGGGAAGGGAGGAAGAAACAGAGGGAGAGAAACAGCAATGTGTGGTTGCCCCTCATACCACCCCCCACACCGGGGACCTGGTCCACAACCCAGGCATGTACCCCAGACTGGGAATTGAACTGGTGACCCTGTGATTCACGGGCTAGCACTCGATCTATTGAGCCACACTAGCCAGGGCCAATATGATAGATCCTTTAGCTATGTTAAAGATAAATCTCACATCAGGCTTAAGTGCTGTTATCTTCGTTTACACATTAGAAGTGTAAACAGGGTTTACAAAGGTTAAGTGATTTTATCCAAGGTCTTAGAGTCAGTATGAGGTAGAAACTACAAATGCCTGATGTAGACCTGGTTCCTCTTTTGATTTTCTCAATGTGATTTCTAAAGGTGAAGTGACTTGAAGCAAGTCACAGTTATTAGCAGAGGTACCAGATTGTCACCTGACACCTAGTGCTGTACTCTTTTCTTAACTCACCAGATTGGACAATATACCTGGCCAAGAAAGACCACTCAGGGTGTGACTTTTGTAACCATTTCAGAAAGTATGACTGGAAGACTGAGTGGCTAGGGCAGCTAGACAGTTAGGTTTTAGATTCTACAATGATATGAAAAAGCTCACTTTTGGAAGATGAAAAGATGTATATTTTCTTACTTTTAGGTTAAAATATCTAATTTAATTTTTGAGTTAAAATAATCTTCTAAATAACTGAGAATAAAAACTCTAAATATTGATATTGCAATTATATTTAGTAATTAATCACATAAGCAAAATACAGAATGCCATCCAATATGTCTCAAAGGTATCTGGATTAGCAATTCATCTCAGAAAGTATGGGCTAGTTTATTCAAAATACTAAATTTTTTATTTTTCAATTAAAGTTGACATTCAATATTATTTTATATACATTTCAGGTATACAGCATGATAGTCAGACACGAGCTTAAAAACATATGCACACCCACACTAATTTCAACATTATTTACACTAGCCAAGAAACAGAAGCGTCCTAAGTGTTCATAGGTAGACAACTGGATAAAAAAGACGTGACAGACATATGCAATAGGAATATTAATCGGCCATGAAAATGAAATCTTACTACTTCTGACAACATTTATAACTCTAGATGGTATTATGTTAAGTGAAATAGGTAAGACAAAGAAAGACAAGTATCATGTGATTTCATTTATGTGTGGAATCTAAAGAACAAAATAGATGAACAAAACAGAAAGAGACTCATAGATACTGAGATCAGTCTAATGGAATAAATTTCTCTCACATTCTTTGATACAAATGCAAGCCGTTTTAGTCTCTTGTGGGAGAGTTTTGTCAGTATAATTTAAAATTTTAAGTTTAGTCACAACCTCCAACTCAGAAAGTCTAGTCTCTGGCACTGGCCCAGAAAAAAATACTCACAAATTGGAGAGTGGTGATTTTGCACTTCCTGACAATTTTTTCTCCCTTAGCTTCAAAGACAGAACTCTCTTTCTGTTTTGCTACTATCTCACTCATCGCCTTGACCAGTCTCTTTTTTTTAGCCATTACTCATCTTTTGCTCTTCTAGCAACCGCAGTATCCCAGGGCTTGGTATTTTCACACACCAAGTATCCCAGGGCATGGCATTTTCATCTTTCCCAAGATGATCTATAGTCAGATCAGTCTTGTTCGCATCCTTTCAGTAGCTACTCATTCCTCTATTTTCCCTCCTGATTCAGCAGGTCCCTGGAGGGTTCCAGGAAACTAATTTTTTTTTGTTGTGGTAAAAAATACATAATATAAACCTACCATTTTAACCATGTTTAAGTATACAATTCAGTGGCATTGAATACATTCATATGGATGGGCAACCATTAACACCATCCAACTCCAGAACTTTTTATCTTCTCAAACTGAAACTCTATCCATTAACCAGTAAGTCCCAATTTTCTCTCCCTCTCAGACTGGGGCAACCGGCCTTTTATGAAATTGACTGCTCTAGGTATCTCATTATTAAGTAGAATCAGGTAATAATTGCCCTTCTATGTGTGAACGAATTCACTCAGCACAATGTTTTCAAGGGTCACCCATGTTGCAACATGCCACAGAGTATCATTCTTTTAAGCTGAATAATATTCCATTGTATGTATATGCTGCATTTTCTTTACCCATTCATCCATCCACAGACATCTGCATTGTTTCCATCTTCTGGCTATTGTGAAAAACACTGTGACCATTGGAGTACAAACATCTGTTCAAGCCACTGCTTTCAATTATTACGGGGGCATTTCCAGAACTCATCTCTTTTTGCACAAAATCCAAAGGCCTTATGTAATCTGCCCTCCCCCCACCTTCCAAAACACACACACACACAACCTCTCTGATTGTTTTTCCCACAATTTCCCCCCTTGCTTACCCTGATTTGCCCAACAGCTCTCTTTTATCTTCCTCCAATCTAGTACTATTGCATCAGAGCACTTGCCTGTAAAGTCGGGTCTCTCTGCCTTAAAAAATTTCCCTCAAGATATTTGCCTTGTTCACTTTACTGGGGGTCTCTGCTCAGATACCACTTTTGGCGGGCATTTCCAAATACACAATATACATTAGTATGTCCTCCATCACTTACTATTTGCTGCTTCTCCCCACTTTCTATTTCTTCTTTGTTCTAATCAGAACCAGACATCCCATTTATTCATTGGTTTAGTGTCTATTTTCTCTACTTAGAATGTAAATCACATGAAATCAGAAACTTGTTTTTTTTTTTAATCTCCAATTTAGCTCTATGTCCTAGAACAGTTTCTAATGTATAGAAGGTAGCAACTATTTGGTGAGTGATAGAATGCCTGACTAAATATCTGAACAAAATGGCAGGTATGATACTCACTGTAGTACTCTTTGTAATAAAAATGTAATTATCCATCATGAGGGAATGGTTCAGTAAACTAGATACATTCATACTATGAAATACTCTATAGAGGTAAAAAGAATGAGGTAACTCTGTATGTACCATTACCAACAATGTTCAAGACATAGCTTTAAGAAAGCAACTTTCAGAACAATACAAGCAGTATGCAAGAATCTATAGAACACTCCTGGTTACCTCTTATTATGTGGATTGGGTGGGGAAAGTAGTAAGGGAAGATTTTGCTTTATTTGAATTATTTAAAAAGTTTACATCAAAGATGAAAAAAAGACATGTATGACTTGTACAACTTAAAAATATATAGACATATTCATAGAGAAATAAATGGTTGCAAGTAGGGCAGATGAAGAATGCCTGCTTTCATCTTTATAAGAAATAAAACAGAATTTGGGCTTTTTGAAATTCTGCATAGTGTGCCAAAGGTCTTATGATAGTCCATTTGGAATATTAAAGGTGGGCGTAAGAGAGAAGAGCTATTAGAACAAAAGATGGAAAGCGTAGTATCAATTGTCTGCTGATGTTTCCCTTTATCTGCCTTCCCTCACCACCCCAAATGCATGCATTTGCAAACATCATGTTCATGTATATGTATACATCATTAGAACATGCGTGCATTTCTATGTTAAAATATTCTGTTAGAACATATAAATCAGCATTTCCATGTTAAAACACATAATCACAGATAATCACAGACTTATAAAGATGTGTACCAATTAACAAATGTTATCTCCATTTTTTGAAATTTAAAGGATCTTTCCTCCTTACTATTTATCTGTATAATTTTGGATTCGTTTTTCTATAGAAAACATTAGTACTTTAGTAATTTGAAAGACTATAATTGTTCTTAAATTTATAAACTGTCAAGTTGAAAACAAACCTAATTTTACCTTATTATGCAACACACAGAGTAAGTCTGCAAACCAGCGGAAGGACCGGATATCTCTACACACCCAGACAAAATGCAGTCTTCTGAGCTTGTACGGTCTCCAGTCATCCCTTTAAAATTAAAATAACATGATAATGATGAGGATGAAATAAAATGTTAAGAGTTCCTGTACCTTTGAAAATCTGCTTTTCATGACTAAGGAACCAATAGAAAAACCAGTCATTTACATTCAAGCATCTGACATAGCCCTTACTATAACTCTCGAATGCATTTAAAACATAATGCTCTCCATGAATTCAGTGTTCATACTTGCAAATATTATCTGCATGTCACTAATTTCCAGTCGAAAGCAATAAACCAAAGTCCTGGATAAGAATAATCTGAGCCCTGCATCTCAGAGAAAAGTCCTCTCCTTTCAATGAATTCTGCCCCTCGGCAGGGATCCAGTCGTCATCATTCTCGCCTTGGCTTCCAGGCAAAACAAGCCAAGACCATTCCAGAAATTGGTTGTTTATCCCCTTCTTAACATCATTAAAGAAGGGGATTTCACAACCACCTACTATGTAATATATTCCAGTAAATCATGATTCCAAGTCGGATTCCTATTTATAATTAGGAAGTAAGCTTGCGGTCAAGAAAATATTCTTTCTTTTTCTGAACTTTAGGTGCCCAAATAACGCAATATGTTCTCCAGAAACATAATTTCTGGCATGCAATATGGTTATTTTTCTAAGAACCTACCAAAATTCCCAAATTTATATCAAGTATCTAAAACCGAAATAAAATATCATTCAAACACATTGCTTCACTATGATTTCTTTTTTTGGTTTTCCATAAAACAGTCTTTTAATAAAAATTGTATCTTGAAAAGTGAATGTAATAAGTTTGAGAATAATTTCCTACTGTCATTTTGCTTGTGTGTTCATGGCAATTAATATTAATCAATTAATTTTAGCTTCTATTCCTAGGACAAAAATAACTGAAGAAGTATTTCCTGGTTAAGCAGTCTTACCTCTGAAATTTCTATTCTCCTGTCTGTTGCAATTTGCTGAGTAATAGAACAAAGAAGGAGTGAAGGGCTCATTTGTCATTTCCTCAGAAAAGCTCTCCCTGACTGTACTTTACCTTTATTTACTTTACTGCTCTGTACCTTTATTTCTATAGCCCATGAATACCTCTTCTCATCATAGTTCTAATATTTTCTGAAGTAATGTTGCTTATGAGTTTTTTCACTGGTTTACTTTTACCTCCCCCATTTGAATGTAAGGTTTTAAGGGCAGGGGTTCAATTTCATTCATTGTTGGATTAGCAGTGTTTACCTATGAAATAGATCGACACACAGTTGCTCACGAATACTTGTTGACTGGTAGATAAGTAATGCACTTAACACTGATGAAGAAGTAGAGAAATGAGAGCTGGTGAACAACTTGAACAGAGGACAGAGGCAGAGGAGCACATAAGTGTGATACTGACATGTTTTACGAGAGCACGCTGAAAGCCAAAGACCATGTATTGAGAATCACTGAATTATCCCCTTCATCAATCAGTAAATGAAGTTCCTTCAATAGCAAGTAGAAGAATTTTACAAGGAATTACTTCATGCTAAAAAGGAGAAGTCCCAAATATTGGCAGTTCTTTATTTGGACTAATAAAATGGATCAAAATGACATACAGCAGGGTGTTGAGTATTGATGCAAACGGAGTTACTCCAATGCCTCCGGCCACACAGAGGCTAACCTCGTAGTTCAGTGACTCCTCAAATGGACTTCCGAACGGACCATCAACATACAGCCTGTAGAAAGGAAGACAAATGTGGGAAAGATGACAATAAATTAGAGTGATTTTCTGTAATATGCAGTGTGGGGGCAACTTTGCCCACAAAGTTCCCCCCGTCCGCCATGGATGGAAGTGAAACTATCAAGACATGATCTGCTTGGAGAGGAAAGGTGGCCAACCCTCAAAAGGGACTGGCCAACAGCCCCCTCCTCAAAGGGATTTTATTGGGTTCATTTGCACAAAAATACAGGTAAGGATCAAACAATAGATAGCATTCAAAGAACTATGAGGGCTTATTCTCAGTCAGGGTCAGATAGCTAAAGAGCCACAAAACTTTGAGGAATAAAGTTCTTGCTTGGACCCTTATCATTTAAATGACAGCATTCTAAACAAAGCAGGTTTCACAGGATTTTACATATTCTTTCTTAGGCCTGATCACCCTGGGGAACCCACCCTTTCCAGCACAGGGCTGTACCACCTTCCCCATCATAGGTTTTCAGGCTTAAGTAGATTAGAGCCAGGAAGTGCTTCTCCCAGAGGACATGGGGCCTTGGGCTGTGTCAGAATAGCCCAGGGGTGAGGGTCCATCACTCCCTCTTTGTTTCAACCCCCCAAGTCCTTCCATGATGGCCTCCCAAGTGATCGTGTCTGGTTTAGGTTGCCCCTCCTCTGAGGAGTCATACCCGTCATAGACTAACCGACCAAGCACTGGGGGCAGGGGACAAGCTTTGTCTCCTTAGTGGCTCACATTCCAGAGGTCGCTCACTCAACCTTAGCCATAGGGGGCAGTTACAACTCCTGAAACCAGGCAGAGTGTTTCCCAACAATGCAGCAGACATACTGCATCCAATTACTAGGTTTTGTGATAGTTCTGGTCTTACTTTACTGTTTTCATTGTGACAAGCCTAAAAAAATAAGAAAGTGTTGTTTATGAACTGTCAACATTAAAACAATACATCTGTTTCTAAGCATGCCTTTTTGAGAGAAACATTAATTATATAAGAAAATGCATATAGGACTGTGACAGCTGACAAGTTAAAGCCCTGATAATATTATATTACTATATTTAACTAAATTAAAATACCAACTGCTTTATTGTGTCTATATTCAATAACTAATATTATCTTTAATGGCAAAGTCAGTAGCAGAAATAGTTACCAAACTATTTACTATGTGAACAAAAAAGTACTAGGAAGAAAGAAGTTTCTCCTCTTGCCCCAGTTAGCTTTTTTTTTTTTTAAAAAATATTTTATTTATTTATTTTTAGAGAGAGGGAAAGAGAAGAAGAAAGAGTGGGAGAGAAACATCAATGTGTGGTTGCCTCTCATGTGTCCCCCACTGAGGACCTGGCCTGCAACCCAGGTATATGCCCTGACTGGGAATCAAACCAGTGACCCTTTGCTTTATAGGCCGGTGCTCAATCCACTGAGCTATGCCAGCCAGGGTTTCCAGTTAGCTTTTATTAGTATATAAACAGATGAAGAACAATCTAAAGGAATCTGAGTTACTCTACTTGTGATTATATATTCGATTTGTGTTTATATATTCAACTGTGTGTATTATGAGTGTGTGTGAGTGAATCCTTTTTAACTGCAAAACAACTTACCAATTGTTCACTCAGCACACATCCTCCCATTCTTTCCTAGTGACAAAACATTAATTCCATTTTTGGGAGGCAAAATACCCAGAAAAACACTACATTTCCCAAGGTTAACTGTTTTGGCTGCATGACTGTTTTGGTTAAAGTGGTATATGTATAAGCACAATTGGAAAAACTGGAAGGCTCCTTGAAAGAAGTGGTTTTAGTTGAAAGTTGCATCTCTTTATGCCTCTCCCTTTCTTTCCTTTGTGGTGGTGCTTAAAATGTTGACTTGATGGTCTAAATACTTATCTTTTATGATTATTAATTATCATAACTGTCAATTACCATAGCCTCCAGGCTACCTACTTTTAGATACTTTTATGTTAAAAAATTAACACGTGTGTATAAGGCACTGGAATTTTAAAGCTTTTTTCTACTGTAAAAAACATAACTTTGCTGCCCTGGTCAGTGTGGCTCAGTTGTTTGGAGTGTTGTCCTATAAACAGAAAGGTTACGGGTTCAATTCCCAGTCAGGGCACATGCCTAAGTGGTGGGTTTGGTCCCACTTGGGGCATGTATGAGAGGCAACTGATCAATGTTTCTCTCACATCAATGTTTCCCTCTCTGAAATCAATAAGCATGTCCTCAGTTAAGGATAAAAAAATTTACTGAAAAAAACAGTAACAGTCTTAAAAAGTACATTTATGTTGTCAGTCTTATGATATGCCTGTCTTTTATTGTCTAGAGTGACTGCAACAGATCACTTAAGATTAGGCATTTGTGGGCTTACCAGTTAAGTGTTTGGTATATGTCTGCTAAATGAATTAATGAATAGATAGTCTTTTGACCTCTGAGGTCTATGGCACGTAGTCTGTGTTATATACTATTAATCATTGCTAAAATCTGATTTCCTTTCCTCCTGGGTCCACAGTAGACTACACTTCCTGAGCTTTTTGTAAGTTATACTGAACCTTATGTCTAATTCTGACCAGTGAGCTGGGCTGTGTGAGTGGCAGCGATACCTGTTACTACTGGAATGAGGCAAGGAAAACTCTTCCCCTCCCATGGGAACTAAAGCCATGAGTTGAACCAGAAGACAAAGCCAATTAAATCCTTGACTTAACACTTGAAGGAAGCTTCCTAGAGGGTGACTAGACTCACAGAAGATACTTTATGAGTAAGAAATGTGTTTTGTCACATTTTCAGCAATATTTCAAGGTTAACTAGTCACTGTGGCAGAGCTCAGACACTCGTGACTACTACATGTTCAGCACCTTCTTAAGTCCTGGAAACTTGCAAGAATAGTGCTTTGAAAAATACCGTATATATTAAAAAAGCTACTTTTTGCACCTCAAGAAAAAATAATCAAAGTTTAGATGCTTAAGGTAGTATTATAAACATCAAAATTCAGAAAAAACAGAGATCACATATTCACATATTCATATTAGCGTATTAAGCTAATACGTTTAATTCTTATTACATCTATTCCATGCACACTTTAAAGCTTATTTACTCAACGAACAAAAAATATATTTAAAAGTTAATGATACAATATATTGGATTCTTGATAGAAATCTCAAAGTACCAGTGGCTCAAAAACAACAGATGTAAATAGATTCTACCACTTCTCACTATATAAGCAAATTTGGAACATGAACATTCAGCAACAAGATCAGGATTAAAAATAAGTACTTCCAATTGCAAAAATAAGATTATTGTAAATGAAACTATTTTGAATCCACTAGACTTAGTGCAATCTTCTTTTAATTAGGCACTCATTTCTTCATTCAACAAATGACTTTCTGTACTTGCAATGTGCCTGATACTATTCAAAGTGTCTGGGATATAGAAGTGAACAAGACAGAAAAAGAGTCCCTGATCTCATGGATTTTTTATTTTAATGGGAAAGGGACTAGCCCATACATAAAGATATAAAAGGACAAATGCTATAATTCCACATAGTGATAAATGTTTTTTTTTAAATAGGTAAAATAATTATTGAAGCTGGGTGATTTAGTACATAAAAATTCGTTATACTATTCTGTTTACTTTTGAATATGCTTGAAATGTTGCATAGGCAGTTTAAAGGGATAGTCAGAGCAGGCCTCTCTGTGTATGTGCCATTTGAACAGAGATCTAAATCAAGTGAAAGAGCTAGGTATGAAAGCATCTGAGAGAAGAATCATCCCAGCAAGATATAAAAGCATCTGAGAAAGGTAACCGGAAGTACAAATACACAAAACATTTTGGCTTAAGTATATATGTACGCAAGCTAAACCCTTCCCAGGAACTTTCAACTCATTTTCTCTGTTCAATCTCTTATAACTGTGTTTATGAATTTTTCTTTGTAAGGACTGATGCTCTTTGGACCATTGCATGCAGGTTCCTGTTCGTTAACAAATATTTTAGCACCTGTCCTGCAAAAGGCACTCTTCAGGTGCCGGATATTATAGCACTGGACAAAGACAAAAATCCCTGTGCTCGTAGAGGACTTCTCTTTGATTATCTAACACATCACCCACTTGCATATACCCATCGAGTGCCTTCTATATGTGAAGTTTTGGAGATAGAAAAGCACAACTCCTGTCCTCAGCAATTTTGGTGCTGCTCACTTCTCTACTCATGCCTGCTTCCAAAAAAAGGAAACACTGACACATGACATTGTAGCAAAGGATAAGAGAGAGGAGCCATTCATCAATTACCTTTCCTACTTGTCTGTTTTCCAGCCTGCATGCCCACACGCACAGCCTCCTGATACCCCTCCATCTACTCTTTGGAGGTGCAGAATAACTTTGGGCAAGACAAGAACTCAGGGTTCTAGCCACTTACTGGGGTTAGGATTATTAGCATGTTACTTGTCCTCTACAAATCTGATTTCCTACATATCTAAAAGGAACAATACAATATAACACAGAAAAAAGGTTTCAAGAATTGTAGAGGGCCACAATGACGGAAATGTTTGTTTCTTAATGGCATCAATGAGCACCGACCGTCCACTGTTGAGCCATTGGAGAGGTCCAGCAGTAAGATAAGAAATGGGCTAATTTTGGCATGAGATGAAAAATATAGATAAGAATGTGATATAAAGAACCTTAGAGAATCAGCTGTTTTTTCACTGGAAATGCTTTTTGTACAATGTGAAATAGAATTCAATTTTTTTTGAAAGAAGGGATAGAAAAATGAAACTACTGATGATTGATTATTTGGCAACACCTGGGTTTTTGAGGGAAGCAGAAAGAGGAACTACTTAAATCATTTTTTACATATTTAACTTGATTAATGTGCAGAGTCCATTGCCTTTAATTTATGAGCAGTGATTTTTCTTCCTATCTTAATACTTTGTCTTTAAAGGAATGCTCTAGCACTACTATTGTTGTAGCTGTGACAAGATCACAGAAGTTAAAGGCAACTACTCAAAGTCTTTCAGCAACATA